TTTTCTTTATATTTAAGAAAAATGTGACTGATTAATATTATTTTTAAATACTTTTTCCTAAGAAACTTACTTTACTACCTACTTACTAGGTTGTTATATGAAAGTAGTCTATTTAGTCGATGTTAAGAGAGATTTTTGTGAATTTTCAACGTTTATTTGCATAGTTTGTTACATAAAAGTTTTTTCAATTTATGTGAGTTTAAAGAGATCTCAGTGATGCTTAAAAAAGAATAAATTTAACATGAAGACAGTGATTTTAAGTCTGGTTGGTCTGACTGTAAGTCTGATTAATTAGAGTGATTAAATTAACTAGGTGTATACCGTAAAATACGTTGATTTTTGTCTAAATTTTGATTTTTAATTTCTGTAAGATTTTCTTATTTTTTATTAACCCTCAATACCGAAATAATCCTGGGATCGAATAAGTATAATCCCGAAATCCCGGGATTAGAAATAAGGACCGGGATCAAATTCCCTAGGCATATCCCATGTTAGGAAGTTTGAGAAAAAGGAGAATCTGTTTCAATTCATCAACATTTTAATGTGCAGTGCTTTATTAACGCAGATGTACAACGTTTAGGGAATGCAACTGAAAAGTTCTTAGAAGATAAATTGATTGTTGCACAAATCCAAATTTGTTAGTAACTCATTTTTTGTAGTTTTGTGGGATATACTGTTTTTTCATTCGCCAGCTCAATTTAAAGTGTCTAGAGTTTATACAAACCTAAAAACACATCAAATGACAATTGTGTATGTGTCTTACTTAAATTTGGAATGCTGTAAAACGTTATTAAAGCACTCCAAATTCAGAAGGAAGTTATTTGTAGAAAAGAAAAGTTATTTATACCCTATATATAAATAACGTGAAGCTTTGTGACAGCTACAGAATGAACTATTTAAATTATTTGATTTAATAGATGGGGATTCATAATTTAATATATTGTATTTAATTAATTTTAATGTTTCATGGTGTATTTATTGATTTAATTTCTATGTATTCCTTTATTTTATTTACTTTTTATTTATATGCGACCATTTTTCATTATTATTTTTTAAAATATTTTTGAACTTATACGTTCATTTTACAATATGTTAATGTTCAGTTGATAAAAATTTGAATTTGTATTTTGGAATATTTGTATCCAAACTACTGTTGTGGCATTCCATTACATATTCTACCGGAAGAAAGTCATTAAAAAGTCTGAAAAATGTTTTATTTATTGAAATTTTTGCTGTTTATTCAAGGTTATTTGAGTGAATTTATTTCATGTCTGACATTGCATGATTTCTGGTGCAATTTTTTTATAACAGTGTTAAGACAAGACATCTGTTGCTTGCAAGGACCTAATATGGGCTTTGGCAAGTAACTTTTATTTTCATGTTTTCTGCCTTGTGCAACTATACCATTGTGTTATCTTTAATTAAGGCAGACTGTAACCTCTGGTTATGCATGCAATCTCCAGCAGATTGGGTTAAAAATAATGTTTTTTCTATGGGAAAATCCTTTTACAAAAATTCTTGAAAACTGAAGACAGAACCAACTTTTTTTTTGTGCTAGAATTGTATTTAATTCTTCTATTAATGTATGGTTCAAAATTTTTAAAATTATAGAAAATTAATTAATTCAATTTTAAAATTAGAGTACTGTATTTACTAATTTTTTCAGTATACAAGTATCCCTTGATTAATTGAGCCCTCGATGCTATTGCATATATCAAAACTGAGTTAATCAAATACAGCAGTACCTCGATANAGAACGGATTAATCATTTTTACATTACTTCTTATGGAAAAGGTTGGTTTGGTATACGTCCTATTCGGTGTAAGTCCAAACACCAGGAACGGATTAAGGTCGTATACCGAGGTTCCACTGTACTTACACAAAAAGCACTCTGATATCCAAAGTTGCTGAATTTTTTATTTCACTAATTTTCCTAAAAATTATATTACTGTCAGATGCAAAAATCAGATTGGACCAATTTTGACATTTTTACTTATGCTTATTTTAATTTTTTTCTACATAGCAAGTTTATCTACAATCTGTGATATTGCCATATAAATAATTATATTTCAGCTCATTTCTGGCACAGTGTAGTGGCAGCCAGATCTGGCCTGTGGACCATAGTTTGATGACTCTTGCTCTAGACAGATGGTGATCATCTGTCTAGAGCAAGAGTCACCAAACTAAGCAATTGTTTAGCAATTGAAACAAATATGTTTTAGTGTATCAAATTGATCAGAAGGCTACAAGTATTTGACAGTTAGCTGCATCAATGCCTTCCCATCTATCCAGAATAAAGTTTGGAGGACATTTACATATTCCATATTGGGTTAATTTTAATGATATGTATACTTAAATAATGAAAACATAAAATTCTTTTCAAAAATGTCAACAGCAAATGATTAACGTTTAAAGGCCAAGGCAGCCTTTGAGATACAAGGAGTATTGAAAAAGACTATACCTACCAATATTGTATCACTCCTGTGTTGAAGTAATGTCATTTTTTATCTTTTGAGGAAAAATAGTATTTGGTTGGAGCAGACTGATTCTTGTGTTATTGGCATGATATTTGAAATAAATGCATTGGTCCAATAGATTGCAGGGCAGTGAAGCATTAATGACAAGTGGTGCCTGCATTTGGTGCTATCAAGAATAAAACTAGCCTTTGTGTTTTAAGAGGAAGGTTTAATGCACAAGATTATATTATCTTGCTGCAGGAACAGTTGCTACCAAATTTGCACGCAACTGCTTGTGAAAATCTTTTTTCAAGCAAGATAATCCCCATTCACACCACTGCAATGACTAAATGATTCTCAACAGCATAACTTGAAAATTCTATAATGACAGCATTGTCATGAGACATGAATCCTATAGAGAACTTGTGGAGTTTGCAAAGTTTATGGTGATGAACACCAATACACTCAGTTGTAGCTCTCCAAACAGCTGTGTTGACAACATGGAAAAAGGTTCCATCAAAGGCATCAAAAACTCTTGAACTATGCCTCACAGATATATCTCATTACTTCAAAAAGAAAAAAAAAATTGCTTATTAGTTGAGTGCATACTATTATTTTTTGCATCCAAAATATGGAAACCTATTTTTTTAGAACAAGCCAGTTTTACACTTTTTGTTACTACTTTATATTTCATTATTTATTCTCTTTATTACTATAAGAAAGCTTACTGTTATTGAAAACTATGAATATGTCTAATAAGCACCTCAAAGCATTTCTTGCAGCAGATTTTACAAAAAATATGAACACCCATCTTTTTGAGACAGTTTGTATTTTATTAAATTCTTTTTCATTATTAATCTAAATTCAATTATTCTTATCATCCCGTTTTATAACACATGAGATGCACCCCCCATTTCAGAATTTCTAAAACAAAATTAGTGGATTTAAGATGTCCTGAAGATTTTTTCTAGATAGTTTTAATGAAGTTAAAAACTATACATGTTTTATTGTACAAAATTTTTACTTACAGCACAAAATTCATCAAAAGAAATCATTCCATCTTCATCTTTATCCGCAAACAAAATTGTTTTGTCTACAATCTGTTGCAACTGGGCATCTTTAAGATTGTTTCCTACCATCATTTTCAGTACAGTAAATAACTCAGAATTTGAAATATAACCATCATTATCCATATCATATATTCGGAATGCAACTGAAAATTTTCAAAATTTTAAAATAATTAAACTATTTCAGAAATAATATTTTATTTAAAATCAATAAGAAATTATCAAACAAATTTTAAAAATCAATATTCAATATAATAATTCAAACGATAAATTTATAATTGAAACTTATCTTATCTCTTCTTAGAATTGAAGAAAATGATCATTACTGAAAATATTAGTTAACAATTGCAACAATAGCAGCTTAGAAACAAATTATTTAGTTTTTTTATGTTTCAAAGTTTCAACAAAAAGAAAAAAAATCAAATTTGAACTATCTGAATCAGTAATGCACTCATCTGGTTATATTAATTATAGGTTCATATCTCTTCCAAATCATTTAATTTAAAATCAGTAATTAAAAATTAATTTTTAAATATGCAAATGAAATCACCACTAATTTACAATAAGCTATTTACAAGTTATTATTAAATTATGGTTAAATTGTCTTGTATAATCATATGCTTTTAGCAGTAGGAAAAAAAAAATTTAAGTTAAACACTATTTTGTTAGTTGCTATAGTCACTGATTAATGTATGTGTTGAGAAAATATTTAAGTTTATTTAGGTCTTGAACATATATACATAAAATAGTATAATTATTTTTATACTTTATTGATTAATAAATCTTTTGAAATATCATCAATGTAACCATATTTTCATTTGAATAATGGCACTAAATTTTATAACTAGTGTATGTGAGAAATAACTTATCAAAAATTGAAGAATTTATTAAATATGTTTGACAAGATCCATGTTCACAGAATTAAAAAAAATTATGTATAAAAGAGTTTGTTTAAACACAAACACAAATTATGAGTTACACTTCATGAATTTATATGATTTTATGCACATGTATTCCCTTGACCAGAAGCATAAAAGAAAACCATGTTTTCTGTTTGTTTTATGCATGTCTGTTCCTTGCCTCAAACTGAAGTCTGATACTTCTCAGGAAACTAAATTTTGTTTTAGTATATTTAACAACTTAATAAGAGCTTGTTTGATAATATTTCTACCATATGCATGTTTAGAAATTTAAAAAAATGAAAAACTAAAGTTTAGATTTTACAATTTAATTATTTAAAAGAAATATGATTCTAATCTTCATAATCACAAACTGATACGAAAATAAACATCTTATAATGTAGGTTCAGTAGAAAAAAAATTTTGATAGATTCTAAAGAAAATATTTGAACACTCAATATTTTTATAATGCAAATAACTAACTTCCAGAATTGCCAAGGTATATTTGGACAATTAATTGAATTAACAATATAATTTAAGTTAAAAGGTAGTTAGGTACTTAGATTATTAATGAATTGGGACTTGTTGACTGCTTATGCAATATTTTTGTATTGAAATTCCAATATAGATTAATTCTGTTTGATTTTAATAAACAAGATGTTTTAAGAAAATAATTTTTTATTCAGTATTTATATAAAAGACACAGCTTTTTATTTCTGCTAAAATAATTTTCTGAAAATGTATTCAAAAATTACACTTAAAATAGTACATTTATTTTAAATCAACACCCATATATTTTATTTAGCCAATTTAGAATTTTATCACAAAAAAATTAAATAAAATAAATTACTTTAACTAATAATAATCAATTTCTTTTAATAACTTCTATAAAAATCACTCAGCTGATAAGTGTTTTAATTTTCTATTATACACAATCAATGTCAGTTCATTTTCATAAAGTTCCAGTATATCTAAAATTTGTTTATGTAAATTAAGTGAATTCATGAACTGTTTATTAAAAATGATCAATTATAATTTCATTTTCAAGAATAAAATTTCACTTATCTTTGATTATCAAGTTTGTTACTAATGAAATAGTATCAAAACAAATTAACCTGTAGAACTAATATATTGGAACTAAAAATTAAGTAAATTTTTCTGCACATAAAATTCCCTAGCTCATGCTGAGTAAAATTAAAGCAATTCTATAGAATTCCAACCCTCTAGATCAAAGATGTGGTAACAAATTAAGGAGTGAATAATGCCAAAATACATTTTTTGAAGTCACCAAATTGTTTACTTCTGAACATCTTTCATTCAACCATTTTCTACACAGAATTTACTCATTCCAAATAGTCATTATAAAATTATATTAATTTTATTCTGTTGCTTCAGATTATGTGGTATTATTTATGTTTAAGGTTATTTGAATCATTTACTTCTATATTTTTGTTTTATTCAATTTCAAAACAGCATTCAAACATAATATAAAAATGTTAAATTTCTACATTTGCAAAACTTCTTGCAAATTAAAGAGCTAGAATTAATATTTTCAGGGACTGAAATGAAATAACCTCCTTAGTTCAAAATAAAATCATACCCAATATTTAGGCAATTTAGATTTCATAAATATAAAAATCTAGTCTTGTTAAAATTAACAGCTAGAATTTGATTATAAATTTTTTTTTAAATTGAAAAAGATACAAAATAAAAAAAAGGGATGAATTTGATTAATCTACTACATTAAGAACACATGAAATGTTTTCAGAAAAAAAAGCTTGAACTAAAATTATCCAAAAATTGTCAGTACATATAAACATTCTATATATTCATTCAAGTTAGCTTAAAAACATTAGAAAAATGAATAATTGTGAAAAAAATGTCTTTCTACTTACACCTTAATTTTGATTCTTTATCACCTTTTACACTGAATTGAGATACACCTTGAATAAATTCTGTAAAAGACAGCATAATTTAAGGAAAAAAATTCAATTCAAATAAATACACTTATGTCATTTACAATAATATTTTGTTTTATGAAAAGATATATCAAAGATTACAGAAAACAAGTTTATTCAAACTTTGAACACAAATCTTAATCATTAAAAAAATTTTGGGATCAAAAATCATTATTTTGAATTATATAATTCTTACACACAGACCTATAATGTAGAAGTATACTGTTACATAGCATAATTAATCATTTAGAAATACTGTACTTAAATTTGTATTAGTAAACAGTATTAGTACATGCTCTGGTAGTGTTCAAATTTTACATATTTTATTAAGATTTATTATTATATAAATATGTGAATGTTTAACTAATAATTATAGCAATAGAAAAACCTAAATGTCATGTTTAGATAGACATTTAGAATATTGAGTAATTTATATTATCCATATAATTAAGGGGCCGAGTGGAAAAAATGGCATATCTAGAGGATTTGATCCCGGGATCTCGAAAATCGGGATCCCGACCACTTTTCAGTCCCAAAATTTTCGGGATTAAATTTTCCTAATCCCGGGATTTTCGGGATTGACATCATTTTAAAAAAATTGCAAAATAGACTGCATGAAGCGAAACGTTCAGTGCCAGTGCTTTTAACAGAATTGCTTGCCTATCATTTTAATATAAAATACAAGAAATTTTATTCCAAGCAAGCAGCAGAAATTAACCAAGCGGGCTTGCGATGCTTGCTTGGAATAAAACTTCTTGTATTTTCAACTAAAATGATAGGCAAGCAGTTCTCACTGGGTTACTTGGTAATATACTTCATTTTTGTATTTTTGAATTTTCGCGGGCGCCAATCGATTTTCTGGCGCAGTCGAGAGCACTACTCAGTGCGTTTTACCTGTCAATGTGTCAGCCATCTTGTTTTGCCAGTGTGGTTAATATAGACCTGACGCTACTCGCTTTGGGGGGGTCGACCTTAGGTGAAAAGGTTATGACCCTCGCCTTGTCCGCGATCTGTCAGGATGATGCGAGAAAGTCTTTTTACGTTTCGGGGTAGTGGTTTGCTGAACGCTGAGAGACTCACACAGAGACCGAATTTACAAAATTAACGCGTTTATTTTTTGAAAAACATGCTTACAATGATCGAAACAATCGGGATTATAGCCTTTACTCCTACAATCCCGATCCGTGTCGACCGGACTGTTTTCTTCCATCCTCCCCGTGTCCTCGAAGCTTATAAGTATTTACTAACGATTCCTCCAACTTCCATCAACCTAAACGCGTTTTCTCTGCAGCTGCATATATGTGCAACAAATTGAGAAGCAGACTTGGTGATGAGACACTAGATGCGTTGTTATTTCTCAGATCATATTTTCGCAATTCAAATTAGAATGTTCCTATTAAATTAGTTTTCTTTATATTTAAGAAAAATGTGACTGATTAATATTATTTTTAAATACTTTTTCCTAAGAAACTTACTTTACTACCTACTTACTAGGTTGTTATATGAAAGTAGTCTATTTAGTCGATGTTAAGAGAGATTTTTGTGAATTTTCAACGTTTATTTGCATAGTTTGTTACATAAAAGTTTTTTCAATTTATGTGAGTTTAAAGAGATCTCAGTGATGCTTAAAAAAGAATAAATTTAACATGAAGACAGTGATTTTAAGTCTGGTTGGTCTGACTGTAAGTCTGATTAATTAGAGTGATTAAATTAACTAGGTGTATACCGTAAAATACGTTGATTTTTGTCTAAATTTTGATTTTTAATTTCTGTAAGATTTTCTTATTTTTTATTAACCCTCAATACCGAAATAATCCTGGGATCGAATAAGTATAATCCCGAAATCCCGGGATTAGAAATAAGGACCGGGATCAAATTCCCTAGGCATATCCCATGTTAGGAAGTTTGAGAAAAAGGAGAATCTGTTTCAATTCATCAACATTTTAATGTGCAGTGCTTTATTAACGCAGATGTACAACGTTTAGGGAATGCAACTGAAAAGTTCTTAGAAGATAAATTGATTGTTGCACAAATCCAAATTTGTTAGTAACTCATTTTTTGTAGTTTTGTGGGATATACTGTTTTTTCATTCGCCAGCTCAATTTAAAGTGTCTAGAGTTTATACAAACCTAAAAACACATCAAATGACAATTGTGTATGTGTCTTACTTAAATTTGGAATGCTGTAAAACGTTATTAAAGCACTCCAAATTCAGAAGGAAGTTATTTGTAGAAAAGAAAAGTTATTTATACCCTATATATAAATAACGTGAAGCTTTGTGACAGCTACAGAATGAACTATTTAAATTATTTGATTTAATAGATGGGGATTCATAATTTAATATATTGTATTTAATTAATTTTAATGTTTCATGGTGTATTTATTGATTTAATTTCTATGTATTCCTTTATTTTATTTACTTTTTATTTATATGCGACCATTTTTCATTATTATTTTTTAAAATATTTTTGAACTTATACGTTCATTTTACAATATGTTAATGTTCAGTTGATAAAAATTTGAATTTGTATTTTGGAATATTTGTATCCAAACTACTGTTGTGGCATTCCATTACATATTCTACCGGAAGAAAGTCATTAAAAAGTCTGAAAAATGTTTTATTTATTGAAATTTTTGCTGTTTATTCAAGGTTATTTGAGTGAATTTATTTCATGTCTGACATTGCATGATTTCTGGTGCAATTTTTTTATAACAGTGTTAAGACAAGACATCTGTTGCTTGCAAGGACCTAATATGGGCTTTGGCAAGTAACTTTTATTTTCATGTTTTCTGCCTTGTGCAACTATACCATTGTGTTATCTTTAATTAAGGCAGACTGTAACCTCTGGTTATGCATGCAATCTCCAGCAGATTGGGTTAAAAATAATGTTTTTTCTATGGGAAAATCCTTTTACAAAAATTCTTGAAAACTGAAGACAGAACCAACTTTTTTTTTGTGCTAGAATTGTATTTAATTCTTCTATTAATGTATGGTTCAAAATTTTTAAAATTATAGAAAATTAATTAATTCAATTTTAAAATTAGAGTACTGTATTTACTAATTTTTTCAGTATACAAGTATCCCTTGATTAATTGAGCCCTCGATGCTATTGCATATATCAAAACTGAGTTAATCAAATACAGCAGTACCTCGATATTCAACCGAATCACCACAACCCACTACAACAAATTTTCAACTTTCATGATGAACTCAGGATATTTTTCTTCCAATTATAAATTAGAAGTTCAGACTATTTACAAAAAAATATTTAATTTTTGAGTCTATCAATTAATCCTTTCCATGCACCATAGAATAACAATAGGTAAACTTTTACATTATTAAAAATGATCAAACGTCAGCCTTTCATTTTAGGTTCTGACGTCTTAACATTAAAAAAATTAAGTAAATCTTATCTTCAGAGGGCTTGAACCTGATACAAATTGTATAAAACTTGATAGTAGGATGAGAAAATTTATTTAATTTTTTAATGTTAAGACATAAGAACCTAAAATGAAAGGCTGACTTCTACTCATTTTTAATAATGTAAAAGTTTACCTATTGTTATTTGTTTTTATGAAGTTATTTCTTCAAACCAATGTAAAAGGTATACTTCTATGGTGCATGAAAAGGATTAATTGATAGACTCAAAAATTAAATATTTTTTGTAAATAGTCTGAACTTCTAATTTATAATTGGAACAAATTTTCAGTTAATAATAATTATTTAATTTTGTCATCCATAGAAAAAGCATTCTATGATAAAAATGAGTAACAAATTTAAAAATAAAATGAAACTTTAGAAGCATATCTTTGTCAGACAAAATTATACTCAATTCAGTTTGTTTTTTTCCCTCTTAATGCATACAGAACACAATCATATTAGTGACACACTAAGATTTGTTGCACGTTCATGGGTTGTAATTCATCAATTCTTAACAATTTTTTACTGAAATTTCTCTGTCTGAACAGCTTTTGGGTGCCCTGTCCTTTAGTTCAAAATTTCCCAAAACAAAACTTTCAGAATAATATTTGACATGCCAAATGTTTAGGAGCATCTTCCCATACACACTATAGGTATTTTTTACTGTTTTATAGGGTTGTACGAAACTTAAAAAGTATACAACATGCCAGATATGCCTTTTATCTGCAGACATTTTGATTTGATTTTATGCAAACAAAATATGAAGTAAAGTTTTGAAATAAGCTTCAAAACAAAGAATACAATATCACATTAGCAGTAACATGTTAAATTTTACAACTATTGTAACTAAACTACAGATCTGTATTGAATCTGTAGTTTACTCTCAGAATGGAAATAACAAATTCACTAACACCTTGTTTGCCAAGAAAAAATCACATCTATGTTAAGTATAGACAGCCATTAAAGCCGTATTAATTAGAACTCCTGTCACATATATAAAAGGATTGTCACAATTAATTTTGTATGTTGTGGGTGTGTGGAACAGATATGTCTATAATATATGTAATTGTTTTTGTTTTGTTTATATTTTTGTTTTTGTTAATATGTTGCCTAGTCTGTTGTGATGGATTTTTGATGTGATCATAGCTGTCTTAGTATATTTGTGTTTATTGTTTTCTATGACCATCTAACATATGCATTTGTAGTATGGATGTGTAATAGCTTGTGTTTGTGTGCAAGCTTTTAATGGATTATATTTGCTATTAAGTTACATCAATGTAAATAGCTGGTTTATGTTATGAGCTTTCAGTCTGATTTGATGTGTAATATAATTTCATGCATTATGTGGCATTTCCTCTAAGTGTCTCCTGGATGGGTTGCATCATTTAAAATGTACCTACTACAGTTTTTGGCTAATTAAAATGAATGTAAACATTAAAATTAGTTTTTCTTTCAATAAATTTTAAAATTTACTGACAAATAGAAAAGTTGAGAAAAAAAATTTATTAAAATTTTTTCTCAAATAAAAATAAAACTAGCTGTAGGAGGAGATGACTTAAAAATGTCTTAGAGAAAAATGTATTAAAAAAGATACTTGTTCTCATTAGAGTTATTATGGAGCTAGATAAGATAAAGCATTTACTCTTCATATCTAAGCAACATTAGGTATGTTCATGTTATTTGTTGTTGATATAGAAAAGAATTCTCTGGATCAAAATAGAACTAAATTAGCCATTAATTAAATATACTAAAAATTATTAGTAATTGTTAAATTGACTATTGAATCCATTACTTAACAGTGTCCATTTCTGTCTTAAAACAATAATGCAAATTGACAGATGTTTATCATTCCAGGGCTGCAAGTGACAGATGAGATTTAAAAAATTCTAGTTACTTTGTTTTCAAAGTAACCATATGGTAAAAAACAATGGATACACCCAGCACACTCAACAGGTACATGACACTTTACTATCATCATCAAATTGTCATATCTACAACTTAAGCATGTTCAAATGAGAAAAAGATCAATTTGATAATCATTTTAAATGTCATATTACCAACACATTATTCAGTTTACATTGTTTTTCAAGGCAACTTAAATATGCCAGGCTATTCTAATTTCAACCACACAAGAAATATTATACAAAAAGATTACTTACATATGGATAGAAAGTAGGACAAGATTATAGATACACAGTAACTTTAAGCCTGAAAAATGTTCTGTACTAATGGACAACATATACTAACTGGAAAATAAAGAAGAGAAAAAAGGGCTTTTATCACAGATCACTGCAGAAGCAAATTATTAAGTAATAACATGGCAAACACTAATTTACAAATAATTCTGTTACATCATTCTAGAGTTTTAACTACATTAGGGAATTTTGAAATAGTTTTTCTTTTCCACTAGGGAAGGAAGAAGAAAAACTATTTCAAAAACAGAAAAGTAACAGTATATATACCAGATCCTCTTAAATAACAAAAAAAGAATAGAATTAAAATTATACATAGGTGACATCTAAAAACAACCAAACTGTCAATTAGAAGAATGAAAAAGATATCTGCACAAGTTCTATGCAATAGACCTGGCACAACTTGCAAAGAACAAAGATATTAATATACAATGGGAGCACTACAGATAGTCATACCTGAATTGAAAATGAAACCACTGAAAAAAGTAGAACATCATCCATAAATAATAATGAAGAATAAAGTGATCAATACCAAAAATGAAGGAAATGGCCTAGATCCATGGACATGGGACTTGACAAGGACAGTGTGATAGCCATGATGAAAACAATTCTTATATGGGACAGCTGAAATCATTATTGTTCTTTTTTAGTTTGTATTATTCCTTTTTATTTTGGTTTTAAAGTAATCCAGGCTGCTTAACTTTGATTACTTTTCAAATTCCTTGTATACTTAAAAGAAATATATTCAATTTAGGATGTTGAACATTACAAATATGTATACACATAGAATTATTTCTATTTGAGTTTAGAACATTTTTTCAGTAGTTGTTGATGAAATTGTAAATTTGCTGTAAACATTAATCTTTCTAAAATTAAATCGTTTTCTGGCTCCTTAAACATTAAGTGTGTATACTGTATTTGCCAGCATGATGGCCTCGAAATGTGGAACAGATGGATATAAAGAAATAACATCGACTTTGTAAAAGTCAGTAGGAAATGGAAGGGAGGTTTCCTAATTTTCCTGTTGAAGAGCAAGAAAACAATAGAATTTCTTTCCTGGACTTAGACATACATATGTTAAGTGTGTATTTGGTATTTACTTTAAATTTATGAAGCTGTCATTCTCTGCCTCCTCAGTATCATCTGAATTAGTCAGGATTAGAATTCATTATTGCATATTATAGATATGGCCTTCCTTTCCTGATACCTGACAATGTTGGCAGTTGGAAAATACCAGTACATCAAAATCTCTTTTTAATTAATTAATATACTTGAGTTTGTCACTTAGAATTGATAACTGAAATTCTGATAATTTTTAGATGATTGAAATCACCAAAGTTGAGAATTTACTGAAGAAATTATATAGTGCACATAACACTCATCTCTGTAAAGACAAGACAATGGAAATTCAACACACTTTTCTGATGAATGATACAAAGGTAATTTTGTCCAAAACAAACTGCAATGTTCTTCCTTAGTATTACTAGATCAGACGACATATACATTAGCAGTTTGCTGTTCAGATAAGATGCCCATTTCTAATGGCATCATGATATCACATTGAGGGCAACTTATGCATATTCATAGCAATCTGCACTTAGAAAATGCAAGTACAAGATACAATACTGTTTTCCACAGCATAAACGGCACCTGTGAAAATGAGAATGCTTTCAAGCATGACATCACTATAAATGACTTTTTTTTGAATGTTTTTTTCTTCTATTTCAACAATACTGCATTTTTTAATCTACATTCTCATATTTAATGTGTGCTTAATTGTCAAGAGACAAAAGTAACAAAAAAAGTAATCTAATACTGAAAACAGGAAAGAAATAGTAACTGGAAATAAAAAGAAAATAAATAGTTGAAAAAATAATTCACTTGCAGCCTTGCATATTCAAATATAAATATCCATTAACCTGATTTTTAATTAATTAAGGTCGTATACTCTACCAGATCATATCAGGCTATAAATGTGATTATTATTGATATTTAATAATTAAATATTCAGTAATTTTGCCTAGAGGTAGGCATTAGGCACCACCTCTTCATAAATTAATATTTAATTTAGAAAGTTCTGAAAGAAAAGAATCAGCTGGAGTGGGACTCAAAACTGCAACTCACAATTACCTTGTGGATGTGTTGCCAGTTACACTATCCCGATCGCCATCTGATTTTTGCCTCCAGAACTAGTAATAATTTAGATTTAATTATACTTGTTATTGGCTCTGCATATTCTAATTACATACAAATTTATAGTTTTTCAGATTACTAATTTTTCAAAATAAGTAAGAATGATTTAACTGGAAAAAAAAAAAAGAAACAGTGCAACTTGTAACTTCAGCAATATATTTAATAAATCATGACATTTTCAACCTAATACCATAGATCGGTTACAAGATGCACTGTTTTTGTTTTAATTTTTCAAAAGAAATAAGATGTATTTATTTATGACTTATGTAATTATTCTGAACTTCCTTTTGTTGATATAATATTTGAAAAATTCAAATTATCACAACTATTAACCTACATTCATAGACACTATGATTACTTCTTGTGTTTTTCTTGCATTCATTGTTATATTGATAATTTTACTGATTAACTTCTATACAAAATCATTATTATATAATGATTTAACTCAAAATTTGATAATTTTATTCCCCTTCTGTAACTAAAGTACTTTCTACTGCTTAATGGAAATACCAAACAGCTACTTTAATGACTAAGATTTACTTTCCTGGCAGAAGAGCTATCTTCTACTCAATAAATATATATTTCTTCATTTTCAAAAACAAAATTCAGTATAGAAACTATACCTCTTAAATTTTACCATTCTCTTGTTTAATAAAAGTTACAAAAAATTTTTTAAAATATTGTTAAAACTATTTCTAAAAATTTAGTACAAAAAAACTGATGTCTGCTTGATAATGTCAATATTGAATTTAATGTATCAATTAAATGAAAATTACAATAATATTTACAATATTAAAATAAATTTTCATTTACATATTTTAATTTAACCAATTGGTTTTATAGCAACATTTAATCCTAAACATGTTAAAATTTTTTAAATAATAAAGCAAGTTATTTCGTATTAAAACTTTTTTAATATACCTTTAAAATCAACTTCTCCATTTCCATCTGTATCAAATATGTCAATAACACGTTGAACTAACGGATTTTGTTGTAATTCAGGAAGTGACATGAATTCATCAACACTAAGAGATCCAGAATTGTCCAGATCTAATTTCCTGAATCTTTTTCCAAGCCTTTTGATTTCATCTGCATCAACTATATAAATAAAAATTATAAAATTAATATATAGTATATTTTATATTATAAATATAATAGTTATAATAAAGATGAAAAAAATAATTTTAAGTTTATAATTGAAATATAATAAATTCAATTTCATATAAAAAATAGTTTTTCATGTTTAAAAAAAACAAAGATAATATAGGCATCAACATCAATAAATGGCATTATTGTATGTCAATTTACATTCTTCATAATATGGATTTATATACAATGGCACTTTTGTCAAAATGCTCTATACACAAATTTGAATTAATCTAATTTACAACTCATCCTAGACTGCAATTTCTTACTAAGTAAAACACGCTCAGGAAAACCTTTAAATATGCAGCCGTATTTATTAAATTCTAACGTTTTCGGTCATATAATTTACAACAAATATTTTAAAACAGATTAGAGACTATACCAATGTTTTATACAATATTTAGTACTTTCTATTTTTTACATTTCTCAATTTAAAAAAGAATAAACCTAATGCCCATAAATGATTCTTAATTCATGATATTCATGAATTCTTGAATTTCTAAATTCATGAATTACTTGCATCATACTGTCTAAACAAAAACATGAAAAATAAGTTTTAAAATGCAAAATTTGCAACTTGTATAATTTTTGTTTATTACATAACAGTGTTATTCAGTTATGACTAATGACTAAATTATGAGCATTTTTTAAATTATTATGCTAGAAATTTTTGCATTTCACATCATATTGTAAATTGTCAAATTTTTTATGTTTCTTGAATTATTTCTTTGATTCATTTCTCATATATATATATATATATGCCTCCTNTCATATATATATATTTATTTTTTTTTGACAACTGCATCACTATTTTGCATAAAATGAAAATAAAATAGATCTGACAAAATTAACTGTTTATTCTTAAATAAAATATTTTACCAAATAATACAAAATTTGACTGTATTCTAAGAAAGAACTTTTTTAATAGGGTAACAAAAACACTGCAGTTTGTTTACATTAGATGTGGGCATAACTTGGGACTTTATTGACACACTTCTGCAAAATAATAGTTTTACTATCAGGACTTTGAAAGACAACCTATCAATCTCCAATTTCAAACTATGAAATTGAATTTACAACAAGTTGAATCTGATATGTTTATTGTTTTGTATTTTTGGATCAAATTACATTAAAATAAACATAAAAAAATAATGCCTTTTTTCAATCTACAAGTATTTTATAGCATTAGAAAGACAAAATGCAGAAATTAAAGCTGTAATCATAGTTTTTGATGCAATGTCCATAATTTCATAATTTAAAAATAAAATCTAGTGTTTGAGATGCCACATAACTAAATGTGTTAGTCCAGTTGATGCAACTGAGAGTTGAGTTGTACTAAGAATTATTTTATAAAAGAAAAAATCAATTAAAACATTTTCACAGTATATATAAAATTAAATCCATTTAATCAAAACAACAGGAAAATCCAAAAATTATCCATTTTTGAAAAATCAGTTTTCTATAAATTCAGTGTTCATCACTATTCCATATTCTTTGGCAATATCACTTCTATTTTTTTTCCTCTTTACTTGTTTTCCATTTCTTTCAATAACATCAATTGTTTTTTTAGTTAAAAAAATTTGTGCACATTTTATACTTAAACATAAAAGCAAAGCTAAACAACCATACTATCTACAGACAAATGTCACTAGAACTGACCCACTTAGCAATTTCACCCAAACCCCAAGATGCATGCATTTTATAAAATCAAAATTTTACTAACTTCAGAAAAGTTGATTTTTTTTTACCATAAATTTTGATCAACTATTTCTTAAATACAAATATAAAAGGATTGGATAATTCAATTAACTGAGTTCAGCTGTGTATGTACACATAATGTGCATCATAGACTTATACACTGTAAAAACTTTTAAACTGATAACACATTCTTATTTTTATCAACAGCTCGTTACCTAGAAACCGTTTTTATGCAACATCTTTATCTTGTTTAAGAAACTGAAATATATTATACAAGAGCTAAAGATGCATAAGCTATTTTACACTTTTAAAATCAGTTTTCTGAAGCTAAATGTGTTCAGACCAACTACAGATAACAATATCATATGGAAGTTAGTAGAAGGAAGTAGATATAAAATTTAAAAAAAGTTCTCAAAACAAAGTGGGATTTGCTAGATTCTTAAATTTGTATTTTGATATTTCTATTCTAAATAAACAGGATACAAATTAATTAAAAAAAAAAATTCAAATTTATAAATATATAATAAGTATAATCTCCACCAACCTCAAAATTAGCACCTTTCTAATTTTGAGAATATGAAGATTATACTTACTATTACACTTGTCCAGTTTGACTTTAAAGAATTCTTAATAAGAAATAAATTGAATTAATAATGGATTATCATCATTTTCACTATGATATACATATGTACAACTGAATTTTCAGAATAAAATATCTAAATGGATTTTAACAAAACTCTTCCTAACCTTTTACCGGTGCATTCTCCTTCTAAAGCTCATAATCCACCAAAAATAGCTCTTTACTAACGTTTTCGAACCCCAGTGATGGTTCTTCTTTGGGTATTTTGAATCTCTGATGGAAATGCAGCTCGTAAAACTTCAAATTCGAAAATATGTACATTTGAATACATGCTTCCCGTCACTGTTTGTCATGCATAGTTGATTCCAATACGGCTATCATAAATTATTGTTCATAAGCGCTTGCCAGGCTACCAATAGCATAATCTCTTCTTCATGGTTGATGAATTGCTTATCCTTAAGGTTAGCTAAATATATGCTGGCCGCCTCCAGCCACTTGATATTTTGTATGTGCCGTGTGGTGTGGATAATTCTAGCTTTCCTAAATTTGGGGTCTATATTTGGATCTGACGCATAAATTGCAAGAGCCGTCGTATTCCTTTGTTTCTGCATGTTCTTTCAGTCTAATCTCTAAGTATAGTTTGGTGGAGCCCACATATACAAGGTTTCTATTGCATCTGCGATCTATAATCGGTATGCTGTAGACCCCTGACAGCTTATCCTTATCTGGTTGATCTTTTTCGTTGGTTAGGATGTCAAATATCGAAGCACATCTTCTATAGGCGATATGAATGCGGTTCTTTTTAGCTATCTTGCCCTCTAATATATGGATTATAAGTGACTGGAATGATCTTATCTAAATCTTGTTGTTCCTCCCTTTGTGGTATGTCTTGAGCTGGGTTTTGGTATCGATGAATTAACTTGGGTATGAGCATGTTGTATCCATGCTTAGAGGCTATTTGATTTGTGAGCCTTAGCTCCGAGTGTAGGGCTTGCTCAGTAAAAGAGTGCATGTGTGCTCTCTTAATCAGGGCTTTAAATGGTGCAACTTTATACTGTGGTGGGTCACATGATCCTACTGATATGTATATGCCCTTTGCTCCTAACTTTTGGTACACTGCAGTGCAAATTATGGCCTCTTCAACCTTGATGTCAATATCTAGAAAGTGTACATTCATCTGGTGTGCTTGCTCAATTTCTATGGTTAATCCATATGTGTTATCATTCATAGTGTTGACAAAAGCTTTGATGTCCGGGTTCGAAAACGTTAGTAAAGAGCTATTTTTGGTGGATTACGAGTTTTAGAAGAAGGAGAACGCACCAGTAACAGGTTAGGAAGTTTTGTTAATATTCTCCGGTGTTGAGATAATAAAATCCATTTAGTACACCTCTTTAAAATTTCACAATTTAATTATAATCTCATTATTGACTACATTTTACTTGTGATTTCAATTTCACAGAATTTAAAATTATTCAGATTACACATTATACAATAAATTATTATAGTAATAAATCTAATTTGAATTCAAATTTTATTTTTATATTTAAAAATAATCTAAATTTTCTTATTCCATTTTAAATTTCATTAAAATGGACTCCATGTGAGTAAAGTATATAATAAAATATGTAATTTTAAAATTTTATACTTCTAATACAGCTTCAAGATTATATTAAAAATTATTCTTAAAGTTCATTAGTAAGTATACAACTACATTTATTAGTAATATTTAATTCTTAACTTAAAAATTTAATTCTTATAAAAACAAGCTATTTATTTTATCTATATAAATGAAATATTTTATCTATATTATTGACAATGTGCTTAAATTTTGAAGTATATAAATAGTGTGACTAAATTGTTGGATATACCCCAAGAACTTCTGGCAATAGAAATTTCCTGTGCAATACAATATTTTTAAACCAAGTAACTACGGGAAAAAAAACATTGTATATTATTTCTTTTTGTATACAATTATTATATAAGTAAAACAAAATGTACATATACATTTATATAAAACGTAACAACTCTCTAAGATATTAAAACTTACTAAATTTTACATTAAAAATAAATCAATGAAATTTTATAGTATATAAACTATTGTTAAGTTTAAAAGAATAACAAAAATGTTGATTAAAATCAACACTTCTTGATATGTAGATAATATATGGATAGCACTTGAACAACAAATATCCATATGTTGATCAAATTATATATAAAAATATATCAAAAACCAATAAATTTTCATAATTTTCTAATTAAATATTCTAAAAACACCTAAAAACCTAATTTAAAAAAAAATCTATTATTAGAAAACAAAATTTAATGATTATAAATATTTTAAAATTCATCTAAACTATTTTGTATTCACCTATGTAATTTAGTCTTGCACTAATGATCTCAATGGAATTACAAAAAAAATATCTGAAAAGCATCAATAGAATTGAAAAGTCAAATCATAACCAAAAAATTTGGTTAAAAATACTTTTGTCATTCATTTTTCTATAAAATTTTTAAAGTAATTAATAATTATAATTTTGATAATTGATATTGTAGGACGGATACTATGATATTCACACCAAATATTGTAATCTATAGAATATAATTGATATTTATATAATAAACACAAATTGATTTTGTTTGGAACTTAAACCCTTTTGACTTTCAACTCTTCAATTATAAAATGACAAATAAAATTCAATAAAAACATTTTATATTTTATACTAATGAAGCATTATTCTGTACTCCTCTGACATTGTTTTGATTTATTTCGAAACAGAAAATTCAATCAAAGCATTACTTTAATAAACAATGCAATAATAAATCAATAATTTAAAAATTAATGAAAAAAATTAATTTTTGATTTATTTCTAAATGATGATGTATTCTCTCATTAAAAATAAATTCATTTTAACAATCAGTTTAACTAAATTTATATTAAGAAATTGTCAATATTGACACACTTATTCGGAAATAGAGATATCGATTACAATTTTAGAAGTTAATCAAGCTTTTGTGCATTTTTCAAAAAAGTGTGTCAAATAAAAAAAAATTCTTGAAAATTGGATGATGCATTATTCTATTGTCATCCATAGGAAGACTACTGCTGCTAGTGAGTAAAATAGGAACATTGAAAAGAGGAATTGTTTAACTGTTGAAACTACTGAAATGTCAGCTATTTTGTTGAAGTTAAAATCTAAATGTTTATGACATTATGGATAATACTTTTGAAGACTGTACTAAAGATAAGAATAAATATTATAATGTGTAAGGTTTTTTGTAGCTATTGTAGCATATAAGCCTAGAAAATTATAATATTCACTGAAGCATGTGATGCACCATAATTCTCTACAAAGTAAAGCCACCTGCTGTTGCTCCTATTTTGGCCATATTTTTTATTTATTTTAAGCTTTCCCCATTTTGCATATTATTGTTTGATAAATGGCATTCATAATAATTTTTACTTGTCTTAATTAGTTATCAATGGCTGCCAATGCAAGTGAATCTTGTCAGGCAGCCAATGTAGTAATCTATAAGTTTGTTAGTCTTTCATTTACTGAAACTACAATAGAAAATAGAATTATACATTTATCTCCTAGATAATCTACATTTGAATGCTTAGATAATTGGACATAATGGATATAACAATTTTTACTTTTTACCTGTTCTGGCAACAAAAACTGTCATAAATGGTTTTATCAATTTTCATTTGTGGTCTCTTATTAATCAAAAGACTCGTTTGCTATTTAGGTACTACCTACTTACCTGGTTAAATAAATACCTACTTAATCTTTACTAAATCTTAACTAAACCAGCTCCTCAAATCTCAAAAAAATAAAAAGGTATCTATTTAACTGTTAAATAATTACTAGCATGATAAATTATAAATAATTCATGTAAAACTGATCCTATGTAATAAAATTTGTTAATTACTGTTAATCAGATATAGAACACACTGTCAAAGACACAATATTATGCTCAAATTCAAATGTCATTTTAGGTCTGCAGGAATGTCACCTTTGTCTTTTCAAGTTTCAATAAAGAAATTGTAGTCAAAATAAATAAGGATGTGGAATTTATTGAAAAGTTAATCAACCTGCTTCACATATTTTGTTTTCAATATTACTTACCTTTGATTATAAAAAGAATAAAAAAACTTGCTCTAATAAAAGTAACATTCCTTTGTAAAATGTTGGAAATAGGTTTGTGAATTACTAATTAAAAAAACAAAAAACAACAATGAAAATAAAAACAAAAGTAAAGCCCTATAATATCTTTTTCAGGATGTCTTTTTATATATAGTAAGACAAATAAGTCACAGCTTAAACTGAAAAACTTTATTCAACTGCTGAGAAATCATTGACTTGTTATACCTTCTTTCCAATCTAACTTCGAAATCTACTTTTCTTAATTTGATTTCTACTGAAAACTTGTAGAAGAGAATTTTCTGTTCATTATAATAATCTTCTTGTTTATATTTGCACTGGGGCACATAGCAAGATTGAACTAATATAAAGTTTAAAAGATATCCATGCGAGTTTCCCCAATTCATAGCCATATTGTTTACATTTCACTACTGCTACACTTTCATCCACAGCTGCCACCAGCTGTGGGTGAGGATTATGATAAAAGTTTTAGTTTTTGGCATTACTGAATTACTGTTAAAGAAATAATTGTTAGTTATCTTTTACAATTGTCAGTAACATGGTCAACACTTGAACAAACACAAGTTACTGGATTACGCAAAAAAAAAAAAAAAAAAAACCTGGGAATTGGTTCAAAAGACAAAGGTTTTGCAATTTTTTAAAAAAATCTTCTAAATGACTTTTCAGGCTATTTAATTCTGCATTAATTTTTTCTGATGAATAGTTTAAATATCTGAATTTAATGAAATTAATGATAGGTAAAAGCTTATTAACAATAAGTATACTATACATTAGCCTTTTAACTTAATAAAATTAAAACAAAATTGACAAAGTAATTAAAGGTATTTAATACAAATAACTAGCAGAATAGAAAATAAGTTAAGAAACTTTATAATTAATACTTTTAAATTATAAAATCTTGTAAAAATATAAATAAATTAAAAGCTTAAATGAATTTGAAACCATGATTAATAAATGTATTGTAGCAACCACATCATGCTTAGGTCCTAGTTTTATCACTATACATACTTCATGCAAGAGCGTTTAGTGCAGAGAACTGGATAAATTGTTCTCAAAGAATCTGCTTAAAAAGGATAATCTAAAATAAAAACCTTGTTGACAATAACCTTAAATGGTCCATCAGTTTTCAGTTTACAAATGCAAAGCTATTGAAGCATTTGAATATATGAAAGATAAAAGAAAAATAATTTCATGATCATGTAACATTTTTATCTGTTTAAGTACTTTAAGATTTTTTATTGTAAGCAAGACATCTGAATAAAAAAAAAAAAATCAATCATAAATGTGTATTTAATTATATGAAATCAATGACTACTAGGAAATATATTTTTTAAAATTTGACTCTTAATTCTTTGTACTTACTCATTCCTATGATCCACAATTCAAATGACAGAATATTTTGTCTAGCACTGCTTTCACGCTTATCAATTAAAAACAAACTCAAGTAATTTAAGATAAAATCATTAAATGTCATGTATCATAGCATGATGTTAAATTATTATTTTTAAAATTGTAATTTATATAACTATGTACTTAGTTTTTTGTTTTATAGGTAAAAGTATGACTAAGTTCCAAATGAATTCCACAACTTCTTTCCAGAAAAAAGTCAAACATGTTTTAGGTACAAAAATCTACTTAATTGTCTAAACATTTGCAAAATTCTCATTTCCATTGTACAGACACCTTTATTAAATAAAATACAAAGTTTAGAAATTAATGATTTATACAAAATTGATGTAGTTACAAACTGATAATCTTTTCAATTATTATTTGACATATGAATTGTGTTTCATCCATATTAACACATTTTTCTTGAATTTCAACAATAACTTTTACTGAAATTATAGGATGTTTTAAAGTTTTCTTTTTTTTTGTGAGTAAAGTTTGATTGTTTATGGACAAAACTATTACCATAAACTGTTAATATAGCAAGATCTAAATTTCTCCATATATTTTAATCATTAAAAATAAATATTCTGCAAGATTGACACACTTAAGCCATAATTTTCATACTGAAATTGTGATAGCTTTGTGAAGTTTGATATTTTTCATTAATAAGGTACTGTATCCTATAAAAACAGATGTTTTGCTGTGATCATCCAAAACAAATAAAATAATTTATTTAAATAATAAAGTACTGGACTTATGACAATCTATAATAAAGCAATGACTTTCTTTACTGCACAACTTTGAGATTAAAAAGTTTTAATTACAAGCAACAGTAATTTTATTATTAAAGTTAATATTTTGTATAAATACTGTAAATAAAAATATCTACATAAACAAACATCACAAAACCTGATAAATTTGTAAAGCCAAACAACCACTGGATTACATCGGGCTACTTTTCCACAATTAAATATAATTGCAGAAAAATAGCCTGATGTAATCTGGTGGTTGTTTGGCTTTACAAATAAAAATATAGATATTAATGAGTAAATTAAAAATCTCTTAACAAAATGAAAGTAAATGATTATATTCTTATAGTAACATACAGTATAATTTATTGAATTATTAAATGGCTAATTGATGTGCTAAATTTAAACACTAAATCTTAGCTATTACTTCATTTTCAGTCATTTTCCCTGGCTTTTGGTAAAATTACAACAAAGATTTTGCAACATATTTTAAAATTCTTAACTTTAAATGATTAGTAAGCTTAAAAGTATATTTATAGTTATAACATCTCTTAATCTTTCAAATAATCTTACTAGTTAATTGATAGTCAAAAGCAAACTAGTCAGTTAAGATTCAGATTAAATATTATGAAATAGTCAAATTAAATACAGTAGAGCCTCGATTATCCGACCCCCGATTAACCGACAGTCCTAGTCGGCAAATTTCAAATGTCCGCTAGTGATGTGGCGCTACAATACTTGGCTATGTCTGGCTACTTTAATATTATTTTTACGTGTTTTAGCTGGCAACACTCATTCGACCATGAAAGGAAGCCAGTATTTAAATGAGGCTTAATTTTCTAATTTTTAATGATACAATAGCGATGATTATTATTTTAAAAAATTTTTGTTAGGCTTAACATTGATGAAAATTCAACGCAAGTAGGTTAATAGCGATAAACTAATATACTAATTACATGGGATATAATAATATACTACACTAATAATGGATTTTTTCATACTTTTCGGTTATCCGACTTTTCAATTATCCGACCAACCCCAGTCCCCAATTGGGTCGGATAATCGAGGCTCTACTGTAAAGTGTTATTTTAAATTGTAATTATTGGAAACTTTAATAGGTTAAATTCGAGCGTTTTATCGAGTTACGCTAAAAGCCATAAAAATTATTTCCCACGGAGTTTGTTCCTTGTTGAGTCGGATCCAGTTAGTCAGGGATGTGTCACCAGAAACTTTCGATGGAGAGCCCATATTGGACGCCAGACCCTTAACAACAACCACCTGAATATAGATATAATAGAAAAACCCAAGAGGATTTACAAAGAAAAAACCAAAAACCCTCAAGAGGGGAGTCGTCTTCAAAAAGTCCGCCCAACAAAGTCGTCCTCCAGAATTAAAATCGTGACCCAGGATTAAAACCCGTGAGAAAACATCGTGCCTGGTTAAGCCTCTACACTCTTCCGTGCCTCCACACCAGTGAACGGACCGGATTCGTAACTAGTGGAAAGAACAGTCCATCGACAAGGTATTTATCAACACGCGATTTGTTTGTAAACTCTCTCTCTCGATGGGCCTTTCTTGAATAGGGAAACTATGACCGAAATTGACTCTCTTTGTATTTTCTTTAGTTTCATTAAAATTGTTATTTGTTAGAAAATATGGAATCCGAGTGAGTCACTTCCTCGTCTCTCTCCTCACCTCTACTCCGAATCCAATCGCTCACCCGCTACCGCTCGTGTGACGTAACGTCACGATTTCCGAGTCCTGCGAGACTCGGTGGTGTCAGATTCAGGTCTCCTGACGTTTCAGGAATCACAATTTCTTCCTGCAATTTTTCTTCTTGCAGCTTTTGGGCACCTCGTACATTTTGTATCCTTTACTTCAAAATTTCCCAAATGGATCTTTTTAAACCACATTTGATATATTCAAAGTTCGAGAGCATCTTCCCCAGACACATTACGAATTTTCTTTTTTTACTGTTTTTGTGGCATAATATGCCTGATATGCTTTTTATTCAAACAAATGTGAAGAGTTTAAAGCAAGGTTCTAAACAACAAATAAAATCTCATCTATAATGTTAAATTTCACAACTGTTATGATTAAATCACATGTCTATGTTAAGATGCCAAAGTCCACAGTGTGTACAACCAATAAATGCAATTTTCATTTTATTATATAGTATTTACATACTTAATTATGGTTTTCATGTTTTAATTTATTATTAGGGCATTTAATTGTGTTATTTTTACCTTAAATTATGCATATTTGCTGTTTTTAAGTTTATCAAAATAGATATTGTTCAGGGTCTAGAAATGGATTTATTCACTTTCCATTATTTCTAATGAGAAAAATAGACTCAGACTTCAAATGATCTCCCAGAATGAATTAAATTCGAAGTACGAGGCCACTGTATTAGTAAAGATTTTTAGTCATATTTTCTATAAAGTCAAAAATGTTTACCTGAATAAGAATTTTATTCCATTCTTTTTCTTCTTTCAAAGCAACATTTGATACTTTATCTACATCTAATTTCTGTTAAAAGAAAAAAAAAATCATCATATACCCATATAATATCTTTAAACTTTAAAATTTAACAATTTTTTAAAAGCAAGCATCTTAGCTGTATCTTTCATATAATACATTCAATCAATAACACTAATCCTGAAGTAGGATATGAGAGAAATTTGGAGTATAGTTTTGTATTGAAAACAGATCATTTTAGTAAAAGAACTATGTATATATATATATATATATTACTTAGTTCTTATATACATTAAAGTACAAATATACACACACACACACATTTCATATATATACTGAAATGAATCAGTTGAAGATAGATCTTCTAGGCATCAGTGAAGTTCACTGAACTGGAAGTGGATTCTTTAATTCCAATGATTACATCATCTACTACTATGGAAATGATACCCATCTGGCAAAGAAGAATAGGTTTCATTCTGCACAAGATCAGTTGCACCATAGAAAGCTTTCGAACAATTGACGACAGAATCATAGCAATCCATATCAAAAGGAAACCTTGCAATTTTATGATCCTTTAAGTTTATGCACCCACTGCTGATTCAGAAGAAAAAGTAACTGAGGCCTTCTACAATGAACTCCAAGAAACACTGCATCAGACACCAAGAAAAGATGTTGTCTAAGTCATTGGAGATTTCAACGCAAAAGTAGGTGAAATGGAATAATCATGCATTGTAGGAAAATTTGGTCTTGGAGAATGAAACAAGTCAGGTGAACAACTGATTCAGTTCTGCCAAGAACAGATGACTGTGATGAATACGTGGTTTGAACAACCAAGGTAGCAATTGTATACATGACTTCTCCCAATGGAAAATATCATAACCAGATTGACTACTTCCTGTGCTAGCAAAAGTGGAAGAGTTCCTGTTTGTCTGCAAAAATGTATCCTCGTGCCGATTGCAGAAAAGATCATGAACTGCTCATTGCCAAAGTGAAACTAAGGTTTTGTAATGTCAAGCAACCATCAGCAACACCAAAATTTGATGTCGAAATGATCCCTGATGCCTATGATATAGAAATAAAAAATATATTTGACTCACTCAATTTCACAGAAACAGAACCAGAAGAACTATGGAAAGATATAAAAGTACATATCAATGATGTAGCGCATCAACTCATTTCATACAAGAAGAAGGCAAAATGGATGTCAGAAACTATGACAGTAGTAGCAGAACAACGAAGAAAGGCAAAAATCATTGGTAACCGAGAAAAAATGCAAAGATTAAATGTAAAGTTCCAAAAAGAAGCTAGGAAAGATAAAGGAAAATTCTGGGAAGAACAGTGCAAAAAAATGGAAGCAGCAACTCAGAAAGGCCTCATTAGGCAATGCTTCACTTATGTGAAGAAAGCCTGAAAACCATTTATCGAACACAAGGCAGCTGTCAATGGCCAAGATAGTCATGAATTACATGATCAACATGCAATCAAAGAAAGATGGAAGGAATACACAGAACAACTTTACACCAATGAAATGGAAGTTGATACCCAANGCTTCTAGTTAAAAGGTCTTTATAAATTTCCTTATATGGTGCTAAGCACTTATGAAGAATAAAGCAAGTATGGAATGAGGGGAAAACATTCGGCAACATCAGAAGCAGAAGCGTCGCGATCTGGCAACATTGAAACAAGTTTCGAGAAGGACCACCTGTATCGACAGAAGGCGAGAAGTGAAAATTTACATACTTAAGTACTAATAGTTCCCAAAAATAATAATTTTCGTGAACTATTATTAGTTAAGTACGTAAAAATTTATTACATTTCCTGTTGTACGAGGGTTTTACTCAATTCTCGAACTGTGTCAGAGTGAATCCGTGCTATAAAAGTACCGTGTTATACGGGGGATGGTACCAATTCTCGAACCGTGTTAGAGCGAATCCGTGCTATAGAAGTGCCGTGTTATACGGGGGTTACCTGTACTTTTATTTAAACGAAATAAAATTAGAATTGTACTAATAAATCTAATTTTCTTTATTTTGATCTTTAAAGTCACACCTCATTCTATAGACAAGGTTGTCTTATGCAAGTAAATTTGGTAATTATTAATAAATAAATTACATTATCAGAACAATCATAATAGTAATCAGTTTTATCACCACTTAATATCTGAACATTAGTCTTACTTCTGATTCTCTAGATTCAAAACATACAAGTTTCTACTGTAGCATTTTTAATCCACTTTTGGTTAATCCACAATCAAAAATGGATTAAAGATTTAAGTTTTTATATAGCTTATTTCATGGCTTAAAAAAATAAACATTAAGAAATTTTTAGACATTAGGAAGGGTGTTGAAAATGACTTCAAAATGTTTTTCAATTTAAATTTGGACATCTGTATACCTTTCCACTCTTTCGATCTACTAAAAATCCAAATTTTCTAATTTGCAAGAGTTTTATCTATGAGGCTGTAGGTTATGGATTATTTTATCTCATCTTAAGTGGTATAAACAATTCCTAGGTTTTTAGTATTTTTAATTTTGAAATCACTGTATGCGTGCCATATTTCTTCATTCAGTAAATAGACAGTTGAAGCTGTAAATAAGTCCTCTCATTATTGTTTTTTAATTAATTATTATTGACATGTTAAAATATACTAGTGTGTCTGTCTTATCAATGTCGAAGACAACTGAAATGAAATTTATAAGTATCTAGTAGCCAATTAAGTATTTGTCTTCTTTCTTGACATAACATATGGATCTTCTTTGGCTAACGTATTTTTCTTGTAGATGTGAGATCAGCCGGGGGTACACAAATTCGTTAGTACCACTTAATCGGCCTATTCCGTGAGAATAGTTCTCCGAGTTTCGAATCGTAAGATCCGATCGTAAAAAGCTTACATAGGAGAGCGTATTTTAAAATGATCTGAACGAGAAGTTCAGATGTTCGTCAGGATTCCTTGACACCAGTTAATCAACTTATTATACGCGGATTAACACGCGTTTGCGATCTGATTCGGAATAAATTGAGGAAACATTCTTATAAAATAAAACAAGAGTAAATTTAATAAATCTCAAACAAACGAATACAAAAATGTCGATTACAACCATTTAGCGACAAGTTAGAGACTACGACTAAATCTATGCTAATGCGCGTTCGAGAGAGAGAGCTCACAAAATGATTCTAAACATACGACCTGTTTAGTTGTCGTCGTCTCCGTTTCTGTAGATATAGGACACCTTGTAGATAGAGTTCATATTACTTTCGTATGGGAGATCAATTCGTGCACAAAATATAAAAATATCACTTCTACGTGCAGACTCGGGACTTAGTCTCTCGGACTCCGTTTAGGGCGTTGGCCATCAGGAGGGAAACGTATGTGGAGTTTGTATGCTTCGGATCTGTCGAAGAACTCCTTGAATTCTGACTAATCTCCCCTTTTATTTCAAAATTTCGTCCAATCATCGTCCAGTAACTCTTCCGTGAGAACGGACGAAAGGGGGATGAATGAGGGGTAACCATTTCCCATCTGAGCGAGATTTTTAACTAGATACGGGAAAAACAGCGGATGTTCTCTTCTGTGGAAGGAAGTAACATCTGTAATCTGGTTTTTCCCACGTCTAAAACAATATTTTTCTCACCAAAAACGAAGTATTATTTGGTGACATTAATTTACATAATTAATAAAAATTCACAAATTAGACCCAGGGCCTTTCGGATCTCACATAGACAATAAAATCATATAATCTTTGTTGATAAATTTATTGTTTTAACCTGTTTGAAGAGATACTTCCAATTCCAGATTAAAGTTATTTTCTTCCCAAAGTTCTTTTTTATGTTTAATTTTTTTAAACACAGCTACCTGCTTGAAAATCAAGATGTAAAAATTTCTTCAAACTCTTTAAATGAAAATTTCACATCTTGATATTTAAGAAAGTAGATAGCTGTATGAATTTGTGTTATTTGGAGAAATAAATTTGCACAGTTTCATTTCTTTGGTGCTTCAACAAATTTTTTCATTTGTTTTTGTATTTCCTACAGAATTTATCAAAACAAAATAATTACATATTTAGTCAGAGCCTACAACTTTCTTAGATGGTATATAATTTTATTTTTCTTCCATTTGCGACAATGTTTCTAATAAACCCTCCTTTCTTTTGACTCGTCTTTTTCTGCCCATAAACAAGAGAAGCATATCATAGTGTACACATACTGGTGAACTAGTTCACCAGTATGTGTACACTATCCAATGACCATGAGTGGATATGACTTCTAGAATCTTCTACCAACTTTATTTTTATCATTGAAAACAGATTTTTCTAGAAAATTTCACAGTCAAATCAAGCCATTTATAAAACTAGTCTGTACTATAACAAATAATAGTAAAATAAGTCAAGAGAAAAAATACAGTATAAGCTATTTACATAATAATGCCACATCCTTCTTAGGATTGCATGTCTATCAGTGCATTCATCAAGAATAGAATAAACTATCCACTGCTACCATAACACTGAGCTAATCCTAACTCTTCCATAGAAAGATTACTATAATTCTTCCTTGTAAAAAAGGAAGACAAAACATCAGATATTTTAATTTTCACTACAAACACTGCAAAAATATATTTCTATAAAAATCATCATAGTTACAAAATAACTCATAAGATAAAAACAGTACATCATTAAACCTATACAATACTGATCTGAATCTAATACAGTAAACAAGAAAGACAGACACCATAAATGGTGTGTCCTGGATCCAAAAAGGAGCTCATTGGTAAGTATCCTAATACCCCATTTGCACTGAGCATTTCAATCTAGATTGTGATCAAGGTCGGTGATTGTGCCATGGTGCAACCTCTCTCAACCATTTCAAACTTGACTGAAACAAAGTTCAATCGCAATGGACACAAGAGTTTTTGAAACTAGATCCAGTCATAAGAGAGTTCCCACAATCCCATGTGCACGAGAAGAAACAAGATGGCTGTGAAACACGTATTGGGCTATCAACAGAGAAATAAAAAAGATATTTGGAGAGACAATTAGATCTGGCTATTATTATATATATGGCAAGAAAAAGTATTTATTTCTAACCAAAACTTCCATTTTTTTGTTGGTGTTCGTCACTTATCGAGTAGTTATGTTAGTTTTATCATTGTGTGCAATAGCCAGATTCTTCTCAAGCAGACAGCTCAATGTTTGACTGTTGACAGTCACAATCGAGCTTGTGGGTATATCAAGATTAAAGTGAGTCGTGGATTGTGTGCGAACACAGTATAATGATCTTGGCCAGAATCACGTTGACAAAATTGCATCAAACTGCTGGTTGATTCATGGATGCTCTTGGAGAGATGGAAGGGTTTATGATTGCCATAAAAGACAAGGTCATAAATACAAAAAATTATAGGAAGTCTCTTTTTAAAAAGGCAATACTTTCAGACAACACTTACAGGAAATGCCACATCATACATGAAAACATACAAAGCATATCAGAATGCAAGCTTATAAAACAAACCAACTATTTATATCAACAAGAGATAACAAACGTAATACATTAAAAGCTTGCATACAAAAATCCAGCGACAAGTTGCTTAATTTTCCTGGCCTTATTTAAAACTGCATGTGGCACCCACCATCTGTTACAATATTTTATTAAAAAACTTTTTTAATTATTATGAAATGGCAAAAAGCTTAATTCTGAGGGGTAAGAATGGGTTTTATAAAAAATTGTAAAATGCTAATAGTGAGTAAAATCATCATTAAGTCCAACCCTACTCGACGTGACATGTGACACCCTTTATCCTCCTACCCCTCAACCTTTAACCAACAAAATTTAATAGTATCAACTCCCCTAATACACAAGCCTCCCTGCCAAATTTCAGAAATTTTGACAAAAAGCACAGGAGTTATTAAGCTTCAAAGAGAGTGAACAAAATTATGCCCTATACACATACATCAAGAAAAAATCCCTGAAATGTTTTTACATTTCTCAACATTTCAAGATCCCTAGTCCAGAAATGTAAAAATCTTGGAGAATCATATCTGACTCATTGCCATACTTTTCCTCTGTTATGCGTAACAGAACTGGGAAAGTAGAAACTATTAAATATCCAGCAACCATATTACAAATATACAGGGTAATCCATTTTAATCAAGCCATTGAAATAACTCAAAGATATGCATACTAGAAAAAAAATGTTAGACTGAGGACACCATAAGAAGGAGCTATCAGTTTCATCATAGATGGCATGACAATCTGAAAGCAGGATAAACTTCATTTTCTTAAACAGGAACACCCCTTTTTTTATTACATATTATGATTTTACATTAAAAAACAAAACAAAACTTATCTAAAGCATAAAAAAAAGTGCTCAAAAAGTCATTTGGAATATGTTTTCCTAATGATTTTTTAGCAATTTTTTCC